AAGAAGAAAGAACGAATCAGCTGAATTCCAGTTCTTATTACTCAAGCAATGTAAAATTTCAGGACGGACATATTTAATGACATGAACGACAGAGGAAAACCATTCCTGAGTATCATCATAGCTACTAGCTAGTAGCATGAATTACTCAGACACTGTATTTAATTTGTTTGGTTTGTGGTGCAAAGGGGGAGGGGATGTAATAAATACCAAGTTTTTTGCAGCTGATGGATCATTAGGTTTTCGTATAACACAGTTTCATTTCTTAGCATTACTTATACCATGACAATCTAGCATAACATTTACTTGGTTCCAAAAACTTCATCAATTTTCTACCTGAACAGAGTTAGAAGGGCTCAATAAGACAAATTGTTATGGGAGATGAATAAACCAAGATACAGTGCAAATTTACATAATCGGCATCAAAAAACAACAATGGCCATTTTCAACATATAAGCACAAATTATTTAAGGATGGAGAAAGAAAAAGAAAATCTTTACATTAGTTCCCTTATTGGTATGAGTAACCAAACATTATACTACAAAATAACTCGTCACAACAATTAAAGATTTAGGGCCACAGACACATGATTTTATCTCTTCTGTTTCCTTAAACAACAAGAATTTTTACCACTCATAGCAAAAAAGGGTCGCCCAAACTCTAAAACCACTTCTATCAAAACAATCAACTGGAAAAATTCTTAAACCAATTCACAAGAAAGAAAGGGGTAAATCAGTACCCAGATCTATGAAATTCCAATCTGCAGCCATCCAAAACTTTCCAAAGTCACCAATTCAACGGTAACCGTAGAAAAAATCACGCGTCGAGGACTTAAACCCTCATAAACGACGAAAATTTAGGTGAAGAGAATAAATTATTTAGCTCCGCAAACCTGATTCTATGAAGGGGGCAGTAAATGGAGTCTGGAAATTAGCAGCACTGAGAGCTATTAGAAGGGCTCTGAATTTTGATTTTCTATTTTTATAATTTTATTATATATCAGCAATTTTCGAAGCCTCACAGTTGTTTGTATTTATGTTATGCATGCGTGGGTAAGGCTGACCGAATCTTTTTACTAGTACATTACTATCACCCACCCACGCACCCACCCATCCACCCGTTTTCTATTATTTTTCTTAAAGAAACATTTCAAGTTATTCAGTGTCATTACTATGGTTAAAATATATCAGAATTTTTTATTTTTAGTGAAGTTGGCGGATCGACTCGTTATACTTTTTAATAAAAATATATTTTATGGAATGAAATATTATATTTTCATTTATATTATTTTTTAAAATATAATATTTTAATTTAAAAGTATGCAATTCTTAAAAGTATTGTTATCTAAACGTTTAAGTCTACATAAATCTTAAAGCATGAATTTGGCGTGATTTAAAAGATCGACACGATAGGATTGGCATAGCTCATCCTAGGAGTGTTCTAATTTAGGCTTTGCGTAGTCTTTGCNCATGTTTCTAAATCTTAGAAGATTTTTTAAGGAATTTAAAGTAGAGTTGTTACCGAAATAAATTATTTGTAATATTGCCTAAGTTTGCCTTGCTAAGATTCGTGCTCAGTTCAAACGAGACGAGTTCCAACTCTTCAAATCATGAAAAATAGAGATTTTACGTAACTTTTTAAATTTATTAATGTTCAAGTTCGTTTGTTAAGACTTAATTTAGCTCGTAATATTGGTAAGCGAGTCGAGCTCATCGGCTAGAATAACTAGAGTATCAAATCCTCGACTTCTGAGTTGCAAGTTTACATCGCTAATCAAAAGGTGTTCTAAAGGGCAACATTTTACATATAGCCTCAAATGTCAGATGGAGCATTTTTCATCAATTAATACAAATTTGAGGGGATATGGGTGTGGAAAATTTACAGTATTAATTGTGATGCCCTATTGAGTATGGACAACAGTCTCCTATTTAGATATGGCCAAATCCCGGAACTGACCCAATTTACATCCGGGCGCGGGCCCAAACCCGTGTTTCACGGGTCTGTCTTGCCGAGTGGCCAGTGGCCATGTCTACTCCTAATGATGTGAGAATAAACTCACTTGCCATCCATGTTTAATTTAATAATTTAGTTGATTTTAGGAATGTCTAGTTATATTAATTTGTGAGAAGGGATTGTATTTCAATATATATAATATTAAACATAGTGTTGCTTAAAATAATAAAGTCCTTAAATCTAGGCCTACGTGGGTAAAATATATTTTTTACTAAACATTCAACGGGCTGAAATTGTTATTTAATGAATCTTTTATAAAATTAAGTTTGATCATCTATATATATATAATTGCTAGCTAATTCCATTTAATAAAACATTTAATAAAAATATTTTCACTTTCCCTCCAAAAGAAGTTACATTTTTTTTAATTAATTACTCATTAATCTCACATTTAAGAAGGTTTTTTATAGTTAAATGTAATTAGTTAATGACTAAATTAAAAAGATTTATTTTAATTAATCCCACATTTATGTTAAGTACAGTATTATCTTAATATCTTATCGATTTTTCAAAAAAATAGTAACTTTTTTCAATAAATTTTATAAAAATTAGTCAAATGTGCTTATATTCATATAAATCGGAAAAAATAAATAAATCTTAGATATATAAAAAGAACATCGTTGAAATAACTTGAATCCGCAAGGGTAATTCTATACTCATTATCAATTACTTTAAATTTTTTGTATATATAAAAAATTAATATTATTTACTCATTTATATTTAGATAGTATTTTTTTTATTAAGAAGCAAGGACAATCTCTACCAATCAATAAGAGTCATGGACAAACAATATAAAGAAGTGTTTCATATGCTATGACATGATCAATAAGAGTCAAAGACAGTCTCTGTCGCACGTCGGCTTACTACTAAAGAGCTCTGCATTTAGTCATGAGCAATTATACGTGACGCTTTTTAGAGTTACGAGTCACTGGAGTTTGAAGATTTTGATTTGAGCTGAGGGAGATTTTGACGATAGAAAAACCACGACGTTGTTTTATAAAGAAGTGTTTAAGAATATTTATATTTTTTTTCTTAATTTTTTTCAATGAATTTGTTATGATTTTTACTATTGTTTATAATTTTTATTATTTTTTCATGTATCATATAGTTTTCCGTGCAAATGCACGGGACAAAAACTAGTTCTTATTTATTGTTTTTCTACTTCCAAAACAATATAAATGTCCTGAAGAATGATTAATATTTTTTGAATTTTTTTAAGAAGATAAATTTTTAAGATCGAACACATGGCGTTAAATGACACTCTACATCACAATAAATAATATGAACATCATTTTGCTATTCTTAACAGTTTAGCTACAATTATGAGATATTATAACAATTCAAATAACCATTTTAGTGCAATTGAAACATCAATGTTGCTATTATTAGCGTTTTGGGCACAATTATGAGATATTATAGCATTTCAAAAATACTATTTTAGTAAAATTTGACGGGTAGCTGAAGTTGCATGAAATAGTATTGTAAAACAATTATAAATCAGTAAAACTTGTGGCCGTAATGTGGCAACATTGGAAAGAAAATGTGGGCGAGGGACCACGGGTTAATGAACCAACCATTCATGGCAACGGACTGGTCAAATAGTTTATTAGCACTCTACTTGTAGACATTTGCGGAGCCTTCTCCTTTTGTTTCCCGTCTATTTTTATTTCACTCTTTTTAACCTATACAATATAGAACTAAATTGACATTATAATTACTGAAACAAAATTAGCGTTTTCTGGACTTATTTTTTACTGAAAGAGTTATTATGGACTACTATTTATTTGATCATACCTTATTACCGAAACAAAATTAGCATCTTTTTGTATTTATTTTTTATGAAAGGGTTATTATGATCTATCCATAGTAGGGCTGCAAAGGGTAAACGAGCCGAGTCGAGTCGAGCATTGGCTTTATCGAGCATGATTGATTTTTGTTTTTAGCTACTCGAGCTCGACTTGATAAAAAAAATACAAAGCTCGAGCTCGGCTCGAATTCAAAATGCTTGAGCTCGGTTCGAGTTCGGTTAAAAAATTTCAAGCAATTTTGTAAAATTGCCATTAAGTACATATATTAATATTATGATACATATATACAAGGGTTATTTTAGCAATTTAACATATATATCTCGAGCTGCTCACGAGCCGCTCGATAATGCAAAATATTACCTCGAGCTCGACTTGTGTTTGTGCCCGAGCCGCTCGAGCTCGACTCGAGTTCGGTCAAACTCGAGCCTGAGCCGAGGTTTGACTCAAGCGCTCGTGAGCGGATCGATTCTTTTGCAACCCTAACTATGGGGTATAATCAACTTTAAAAAAAATCAGAGATTAATTACGAGAATAAAATGTTTAGCAAGTGTGCATGTGATTAATTATAAAATTTCTTACATATAACTTTGGGTTTCTTTGTAAGTAAAATATTTATTCACACATTCAGTTAGGGGCGATTGTTTATAGATTCAACTAGTTTTTATCTGATTTATTTTTTTTTAATTATAGTTAATTTTAAAAAAATGTGATATAGTTAGTTGTTAGTGGATGTATTAAAATAATATTTAAATAAAATAATTAAAATTGATTTGATGTAAAATAAAAGAAAAATGATTGATGAGTAGATGAATAATGAATTAAAGTTGATGTGACGTGTAAGAATAATTAATTGATATTATTTAATTATATTGATAATATGAGAGATAGTGGAGTTGAGTTAAAGATAAATTTGAATTTTGATTGATTTTTTTACTATAGAATTTATAAACAATCGCCCCTTAATGATTTATAAGTAAATGACAACAAGAAAAATTCCGAACAAAANCTTAGTAAGTTTCCCTCTGACCATTCACCTTAAACAAGAAGTTTCTGTAGAATGGCATTCAACCTACTCAATTAAAAACATGCTCACGGCCAACTTGTACCATGGTTAGGTTAGGGGTGTACACATCCGACTCACCCCACACAAACGAGGCATTTGTGGGGTCCACGTTCAGCATGGCCCTCTTCACGCCGGGTGAGGAAGGTAAACCCACTGGGCTCTCATGGGACGTGAGGCAGCTCTCGGTCGAGCAGTCGGTCGGTTGCTGATGGAGGTTTGGAGGGATTTCCACTGGGCCATGGGCTACTAATGGGCCTGCAGATTGGGCTGGGTATGATGATATTTGTGGGTTGGGGGAATTATTGGGCAGGGCCTTTGACCCATTTCCTAAGTTGCCATTTCCATCGTCGTTGGCAAACGGGGACCCAAGAATTTGATCGGCAAGCATCTTGCAGGCTCGTTCAAGCATGGCCATGTATCTTTTCTCAGCATCTTGGCGGATCTGTAAATGTTTTTCTGCCTGTGGACAATAAATACATTAAGGCACAAGATCAATACAATCCAATGCAGTATATCTTTTCTAATTTTTTCCGAATTATTTCTATATATTTTGGGACATTTTGCTTGATTATGTTTGATGTAGACTATAGGGCGGAATATATTGCTTTCCTTAATTTCCAACTATTTTTAGCAAAATTTTATTGGAATTTTATCCTCTGAGGAGTTTACCTTTCCATAAAAACTGAAAATCCAGACTTACAAAGCACATTTACATTGCAATCATGTATATCTATGTAAAAGCATTGCCAAAATAGAGCAAATCAGCTTCAGAAATGGAGATTCCAAGCAATTCATTTCCATAAGAAATCAAGAACTAAATTCATTTACATTTTTTGCCACTTGAAATTGGAAATTAGAATGTAAGCAATCACCAAAGGACTACAGATTTGGATTCACAAATTTATTTTTATTATGGTGCTTCATACATGAATTAGTAGATCTGAAGTTGAATCTTGTGTGTACATTCAAAATAATTTCAGTAAATTAGTGTAACTTGTATTATAATGAAAACTGTGGACAAGCATATGTTCTTATTTCTGAATGGTGCAAAGTGGACAGATCCTACCTGGAATGAAGGATGTTAACTTGTCATTTACAAAGAAATCTGAAAGATTTGTGGCTATGTTGTAAAGTCAGATGAGGGTTGCTTACTTCAACTTGCAAGTGTAGCTTGCTTTGAACCTCCATTTGCACTCTCAAAGCCTCCTTGACTTCATAACCCCTAAGTGTATCATCAAATCATTAAAAATGTTCTGGGGTTTCCACTGGCAAATAAATGAATCAAACCACTGGCTTTCAGGAAAAAACAACTCAGATCCTTACTCATTCACATCAGATGCTTGTAAGTTCTGAGAATGGCTTGGACGAGGGCTATCCATAAGGTATGCGCCTGAAAGTCCAGCATCCACAAATAAAGAAGCAAATTTATTACTTGGATGTCCAACTAGATGAACAGTTGCCGTGATTTTTTTTTAAAAAAAAAAACCAAATGAAATAATTGAAATGACATCATAATTTTGGCTGAAAGCCTGCACTTGTTATACTTATCCATCTTCTACTTGTTTTGGATTGGATATATCTTGGGAATGGGAGACTTCAGAGGATACATCTTGCATATTTTCGTAGTTAAGGTAAATTACAATAAAGTCATCTCAAATTTGTTATGCTAGAGCAAACTCACTTGTCAACTTTTTTTGAACAAATAGTTCCAAAGAGTGCATTTTTGTAAGACAAAAGTAAATGTCTGGTGATAATTCACATCATTGAACGATAAATAGGTCTGTTTTTGTTATTGTTCTTTACTTTTCTTTAAATAGTCTAAGCCTCAAGGGTATGCTTACAATATATTCATTCCTTCCTTCTAGAAGGCAAAGGGAAGCGGTGAAAAATTCATGCATGGATATATTATGCTTGAACTATTTAAAGGACATGGGTGAACCAAAAGAACTGTAATGAAGACAACCAAAGGGAACTGTACGTACCATCTTTCGAAGCCTCACCAAGTTCTTTCCCAGATTGCTTTCCGAGTCTGTATTTCTGCAGAAAGCAAGAAATATCCAGTCAAACTAGTAGGGAGACGAATAAAAAAACAAGTTGTACGAAGAATTTAGCTGGCATACAAACAGAAGAATCGAATAGCTAATACAAGGGAAATGAAGGCAAAACCTGCAGATGACTCTTCAAGTGAAATAGAGTTAATCCCTTAACACCCATTGTACGCAATATAGCTTTTGGAGTCGCTTCTGTAAATAGAGTCGAATTCAATATATCAAAGCTGAAAAGAGAACTCTTTCATGTTAAGGGTCTTCTATAAACCAAAAATTGTCATGCTACAGGTCTTTGTTGCTGCCTAGTCAGATTAAAGATGCAGACTGAAGGCAAAAACCAAAAACACATGCAATGGCAAGTATACAGCCTCCTTTTGGCAATACGATTACTATAATTGGATATACCGCAAAGCTCAAGGATTGAACTGTTCAAAGTTGTTGATTTTGCAGGCCGAGAACCAGTTAAACTCACAAGATTCGAAGTCTTTGCTTAATATACCACATTGTTATCAACCATTATCATACACAAAGAATAAACAAGTAGCAAAGTTTCAACAAAATTGTGATAATTAAATCACCGTGGATTTGACTACAACTCAGTAGACTGAAACACCGCCTTTAATTTGAACCAAAAGGCAATTAATGAACAGTAAAGCTTCAAATTCTCCCCATTTCGAAGCTCACGAAATTTCTACAACACAGTTCAAATAATTTGAATATCCAAACCAGTAAAAAAGGACACTACTCCCTTGCACTCATCAACATCCATCCTCGGCGAAAAAAAGGGAAGACAATAATAAGAGAGACAAAAAGAAAAACATAATGAACCAATCATTTTAAATATGTAAACAATAATGTTGAGGGAGGCAAAATAAACAGAATAAAATTCAAATAAAAACACAGGGAAAGCGAATGCTAACTGCTGGGTCCACCAAGCTGGGTAACGGCGTCGACAAACCGCTCATGGAGGTCAGCCGTCCACCGGAGCCTGGGCTTTGGGTCGGATGTAAGGACCAAACACGGGTCCCCACCAACGCGTTGACCGTACCCAGTGACCTGGATGTTCTCCGGGCTTAAAATGGCCTCACGGGGTTGAATCAATCTCGGGAACATCTGGAGACGGCCTGAACGGTCCGGTTCTGGCTGGGCCGGTGGCGATGGCGGTGGTTGGGAGGAAGAGAGAGAAGGCTCCGGGACTTGGCAAAGCAAAGGGGATCTCAATTTTGAACTTTTTTTTGAGTTTTTTTTTCGCTCAGCTGCTTGATAATAATTATTATAGTGGCAATGAGAAGAGTTGGACTATCCTTTTCGTAGTTGGTATAGTTTATCTGCTGCCATTGAAATTGATCTGCAGTGAATCAGAGAAAATGACCAAATGATTTGACCCGGGCCCCAATGAGGCTTTGGTAAACTTATGGGCTTTATTAACGGTGGTTAACCGGCGGTGAAAATGGGGGTAGCAAGGATCACGGGCAGAGAAAAGAACAAAAGTTTACAGTGAAAAGACAAGGGGCAGACTGTATGTGCAGTAAAGTAGCTGTACGCTACGCTCCAATTATTTCTTTTTAATGGGCTTTCACATCATTTTCGTCCTCTTTCCCACTAAAAGTTGCTATGAAATTAAAGAAAAATACAATAAAAAACTAAGTGGGACCAAGTTATGTTTGATTATTGTGCACCCCGAGAAGACAAAACGGACAAATTAATATTATAACCAATGTTTTAATTTAAGTTCTTTGTTCTTTTCCGATCTTGTAGTTGTTGATGATGAGTTGGTTCTCCTTGGCAATGATTTTATTGGTGAATTCATATTATGTTTTGAGGTGTTACATAGATTTTATTATTGATTTTTCAGTACTGCTATTAGTTCGGCTTTGGCACTTCAATTCATTATTATTATAAGCAAAAACTTTATTCTCTATATATGTAATGGAAAGCACATCATGAGCACAAACGAAGTGTATACACTTGTTGTCTCATTAAAAATCTAAATAAGTAAGACACGAAAAAAAAAATAATTAAGGGAAAAAAGGTACAACATCAACCAACAGTGCCTAGTATTCAAGATTATAAGTGGCCTTGCGTCCATGGCCTCGACCATGCCGAGTAGGCTTCACATTCTCGACGAATTTATGTAGAGGTTCGACATATTTATCGAGAATAGAATTTTGTAGCGGACTACCTTGACTCCATGGCCTCAACCATGCTGAGCGGGCTTCACATTCTCGACGACTCTCCCTCGGGGTGAAACCGTGGTTAGAACACGACAACTTAGGGGTTTCCTACACTCGTAATGTAGTCGGTTAAGGCACTCGCCTCTTATTCTGCACCAAACAAAAAAAAAAAAGATTATAATTGGTCTTCCACGCTCGGTCTTCAAGATCTTGAATAAAATGTATAAACATATATATAATCCATTTCAAATAACTTTTGATAATTTGTCGAGAAGGGATTTCATAATACTTTTGTTGCTCTTCGAGAGTTAGCATGGATACAAAAAATTCATCAATGTATTTTCACAACTTATTTATGTAACACAAACTATATAATCTTCAAGATAATTATGAAAAAATATCTATACAAGACGGTAAAACGTTAATACCATTTCAAACGTATGTAATCAATCAAGGATCCAATACCGGGGATAAATTATACAATCAATGTACTTAAATTCACCAGTATCACTCATCAGTTCTAAAGATAACTCAACATACTTGAAAATGTAATGAAATATTCTCAAAATTCATAATGAAATATTTTTAAGAAGAGAAACAGTAAACATCGCTAGCAAGTTCATTGCAAATGCAATATTAAGATTGATTCAGATTGCGAGATAAAAGTTTAGCACAATTTGCTCTTAATAAGTGAACTTCGGGTCGTTTGTGGACTTCAGGTTCACTGGAACTTTAAGTCCTATAATATCCTCATTCATTTCTTTGGATCTTTATAAACATTTGTCAAAATTAAAAAGATTGACACTCATTGGTGTTATAATTTTTCATCTCTAAAATGACTTTCAAATAGATTGCTTGTGTCCAAATATTCCTCCTATGAAATGCTCAATCGACAAGTCGAGATAATACTATTTGGTTCTTAACAAGAATTTTCATTCTAACTTCGTTTATATATAATTATGAGTTAACTGATCCAAACTTTTATAAAATGACAACAGAAGTTCTAAACGGCGTAAAGCGCTTGCTAGGCAACATGCTAGAGCCTAGCGTTTAGGGAACCTAAGCGGTTAGCTAGAGCCTAGCGTTTAGGGAACCTAAGCGGGGATTAGACGGTGCCTGTGGAGGTCGTAATGATATTAATAAATATTATTATATTTATCATCATGCATAATTTCAAATATCTTTTATAAAAAATGCTAATTAATATAGTTAAATAGAAAGATTTTAAAAATATTATATAATTATAATCTTTATATTAATATAACATGGTTATTAGTTTTTACTTTCGTATTTATTGTACATGAAATGTATAAAAACCAAAATATATTTTTATTATATTTTGTAAATAAATTATAAAAGAATGTGAAAAAATTATACGGGGACTAACTTTGTAACCGCCTGGACTCCTAGGTGTCGACTTCCCGAGCACCTAGAAGGGCCGCCTAGACGAAAATCAGGGTGTCCGAGTGTCGCCTAGCCCAAATTTTTTAACATTGATTTTCTCTATATATAATCAATATAATTGAGATGATCATTTTGGAATATTAACAATATACACTAGGTTTTGCATTTAATTACTTGTTCGACTTCTTTACAAAAAAACTAGTACGTACCTTGTGCGATGCACGGATGAAAAATATTAAAAGCAATAGGGTTATCATCTATTTTCTACCTCTTTAAATCAGCATTAAGTATATAAAAAATAGGGTTATAATCTATTTTTTACTTTTTTTGAATCAATGTTGTTTTTTTAGTCAAAATATTAAATATGAGCATTTTAGGGCTAACTAAAATAATTAATATATTATCTCACTAACACCTTCATACTAATATAAATTTGATTTTACTATATATATTTATTCTTTGATATAAGAGAAAATGACAACTTAACTTATTCGTGTTCACCATATAATATTTAATTATTCTTTTATGAAAAATGCTACAAGTACATAATTAATGTACATAGAGGTATACATAACACTCACATTAAGTGGGTCCTACCAAAAATAAAAAATCAAGTTGACTTCACTCCATGTGAGTGTTATGTACACCTCTATGTACACTATTATGTATTTATACTAGTTCTCATATTTTATTATAAACTTTGCTGTCATATAATGTCATTTTTATTTATAAAAGTTATAGAAATTGTACGTCTTCTTTTTCTTTTTATTTTATGTAATGAAAGATATTTAATGCATGTTAGTATTATTTATTCATATATTTAAGGAAACAATATTCTTTATCATATCTAATTTGATCTTATTTGAAAAAGTGTATATAAAAGTAACTAATGCATATAGTTAAAAAGTTTCCAAGAAAATATATACATTAAATGCTCCAAAAAAATTTTACTACTATTTTTATTAAATGATTATTCTTATTATATATATATATATATATATATATATAGATTAGTTGATTGTACCATATTTTATTATTTATTATTTAATTTTCCTTCATCTTGGTTATTTGATCTCATCCAGAACTTTCACATATGATTCAACAATTTATCATAATATTACTGTCACAAATATTTATTGGTTTTGATTACATTAGTGGGCTTCACTAACATTGTAACTGGCCAAGCCCATCAATAACCTAGTTCAGTGGGTCTAAAGTTCTAAACTGTGCTTCCAATGGAGTATGAAAACTTCAGCGGAGTTCTCTCCTTATAATTATGTGCCAGTTCCTTGATAACGATGATCTGACGAGAATTAGACTAAATTCCACTGCACGGTAATGAATTTTGTTTTCTGCTGATGCTTTTCTCTAGTTTAATATATTTATATGTATTGAATTGGTAGTGAGAATTAGAGAACGTTGAAAACAAAAGCACGTGATTTTAGGATCTGGATCTTTTCACAAGCCCTACGAGTATTTTTTTCTAGTAATTTATAATGTTATCCATCTGAATGTATTGATCTGCCCAAATCATAGGTGTTGATTGACCTTAAGGTTGAATATTATTGTTTTTTTCTTTTGCCCTTTTTCACAATGTTGATGTGGATGAATGATTATGTAATACAATATGATGATGATATGTTTTTTCGGGTTGTTTCTTTCTGCAGATATGATGTATGGAACTTCAATTTTCGACAGCGTTAGCAGCATACCAATGCTCAACGGGTCGAACTTTAAAGAATGGAAGGAAAGTATGATGCTCGTTTTGGGTTGTATGGATCTAGACTACGCATTAAGAGTCGAGCATCCCGATCCTGTTACTGAAACAAGTTCTACGCACGAAAAACAAAACTTTGAAAAGTGGGACCGGTCAAATCGGTTAAGCCTCATGATCATAAAGCACAGAATCCCGGAAACCTTCCGAGGAGGTGCGAATCTCGAGGAAATCACAAAGGCCAGCGATTGCCTCGCAAAAATCGAGAAACTTTTTGCGAGAAGCAATGAGGCCGAGATAGTTACGCTTTTATCGGACTTAATTTCGATGAAGTATGACGGCATAGGGAACGTGAGGGAACACATCATGCAAATGTCTTTCATTGCTTCGAAATTGAGGGAATTGAAGTTTGAAGTGTATGAGGGATTGCTCATTCGTTTTGTGCTGAGGTCACTTCCTATGGAGTTCGGCCAAATCGAGGTGAGATATAACTGCCTGAGGGAGAAGTGGACTCTCAATGAGCTCATTTCAATTTGTGTTCATGAGGAGGAAAGGATGATGAGGGAAAGAACAAAGGCTAGTATGCGTACGTGTAAAGGGAAAAGAAAACATGAATTTAAGTAAGGTGTTGAGGGTAAAGTTTGATCACGAAGGTTCTTAGAAAGTATTGTGCTTTGTATTAACCAAGAAGGTTTGTTCATTACTTTGGAGTATTTTGAAGTTTATTTAGCTAATACGTATTGAAATATTCAGTGCAGGGTTGTCTGATAATGGGTGATTATAAGTTGGTGGATGGTACTTTTGGTTGTTAATACTTAATAGTGTTTGTTTTCCTCTGTGATTAGCCATTCTTCTAACATCGTTTTAATGAAAATTGATTCAGTTTCCAATCTGAACAATTGTTTTTCTTATTTATTTGAAAATTGTTAGCTCAATCAGTACTGTTGGTTCTGGTTTTTCAGCAGCCTATAACTGCGGCTACATGCCGTTGTCTTATAAAATGAGTATTTGTATGTCAGTTCAAGAGCATTGAGTGGTTAATTGATAATTTGTTAAATAAGTGTTAAGGTTATATTCCGTAAACCTACTATAATAGACTTGCTAATATTTGTGATGGATATGCTTGTTTTTTCTTCCATGGAGCATTTTTACCAATATCTGATTTGAGAAAAACTTCGAAGGTATTAAATATATATGTTCAATATCTTTAAGTCTTAGAATCATATAATTTGAGTTGTGTACTAA